CAACAACAGGACAAGAAGTCTGTCCACACTGATGGCTGTCGATATCAACACAGACACTCCACACAACACATTACTGGAGATAAAAACAACTTCGTTCATTTGGGACAAAATACCCAAGTCGGTGTTGGCAAGATCAATGTTAAGTATCATATTAGCTACGAACAAAGGCTGTGAAAAGAGACCCACGCAAAGGTCGGTAGTTGCCAGACACGCAAACAGGAACTTTGTCACAGGATGCAGAAAGGAAACTTTATAAATTGTCAACAGGATCAGAACATTACCAAGAAATGCGGTGAAGGAGAGGATAATGTTGAAAGCTAGGAGAGATGTTAGGACGCCAATTGGTAATTGTAATGATATGCCTGTAATGTCGGCCATTGGTGTTTACGTTCAGACGTCTGGCTCTGTCTTTCCTTCTTTTTTTCAGCAAATGAACCTTTTACGGACGATAATTATTTGGTATAGGCGTCCTGTCGCAGTGTTGCCCAATCAGTAGTTGCTATTGGATAAAAATGCTCCACCCTGATGTTTCAGTTGACAAATATTGCAGCGTCAATCAGACCTGTTTCAACTCTTCCGCTTTTTAACTATAGTCTTCTCGTTTTATTAATGTTCAATGAGCTGGTGTCATATTTATTTGATCTGATTTATCATGCAGATTTTCTTACTTATTTTCGCTTGTGTTTTGAAGGGCTTCGTCAACGGTTTTGTATTTCTGATCCGTGTGTTTCTCTGCCCTTCATACCCATGCTCGCTCGTTCTTCATTTTTGTCAACGCAATCAAATTTCGAGCTTTCTAGGTTTGAAAACTAATTTCCCAATGTTTCTCTCTCAACGATAAGACAATTACTCAAATTAATACTTAAAATACTCTGCTGGTGTAGCCTTAGGGTGCTTAGAAAATTTATAAAAGCTATCATCGTTCAGGTGTGTTGTCGACATAAACACATTAGTATAGGTAATCACATGATTTCGAGTGCAATTTGGAATAAATAAGCACGAGTAAATTTTTTTAAAGACTAACAAACTTTAATATTGGTACATATCAGCTTCCGAAGCGGTTGTCTGGGTTGTTATCCTTAGACCAAAGAATCATCGCTGTATTGGCACTAATGTCTCGTTACTTTGTACCATAATCTCGTGGCAAAATATCTTTGCGACAAAGAGGACGAGTATTTTTGTTGCATTCAGGATAAAGAGAGAATATTAGCCTGCCAATAACAGTTAAAAGAGCTATCATGTGAATCATTTCGGACAATTTTTTGTCCCGGCATCCAGCAATAGCTTCACCTTTCAAATACTTTAAGCCCTCAATCAGACAAAAACTGGATAAACAAGCTAATCTCAGGAAGACAACAGTCGCTTGCAGCTTCAGGTGAGTTTGGGTGTGTTGCATAGAATGGTGCATTCTTATACAATTCAACAGCAGTTAGAAGCCTTAGTAGTAGGGATAGATCTTCATTTCCGTTTAGAATAATCGAAGCAGAATTATACAGACAGTTCCCATTGCTTGTTGCTTTTTCGTCTGTAATTCTTCAGCTTCAAGATTGCTTGGCAAGTCTGTTGGTAGCAGGCTTTTTCCGAGGCTGTCGTTTGATAAATATTTTCATTTGAAATACTCAAGGTTCTGTAACGCTTTGAGTTCAACGCAATATTCACTCCTGATGTCTTCAACTGGTTTTGCTGTTTTGCTCTTGGCGCTGCCACACTGTATAATTTTTTCCTAAGTCCACCGAAACACGTGATTAGACATTTAAGAGTTTAGAAACACATTTTTTAAGAAAAAAAACACGGCTTTGAAACCGTGAAACCAAAGATTTCAATGGACACACTAAACGACAAAGTCGACAACGCGAAAAGCTGTCAGTGAAAGCGCTTCATTCTTCGATTTGCTGCCAAAAAAAATTTCCCGCCGGAGTATTTCTTAGCAGCTGACAGGGGAGATATTTATA